CTGTGTTTCCAATGCGTTATTGTTGATCTGTTCAGTGGCCATGTGCTGAACATCTTCATGTCTCAAGCCCCACCAGCAGGATTTGAGAGAAGGAGCCTACCAGTGACAGAGACCTAGTCAGACACCTGGAGAAGGCAAGCCCCTTAACCCTTTGCTTGCCCCGTGCTCAGACAATGACACCCCTGACACTTTGTATCCATTCTCCAGAGTTCCACATGCATGGGAAAGTCTGCATGGACATTTTGAACAGGACCTTCCCTCCCTGACTGTCAATTTCAGGAAGTATGTCATTGGATATGCAATTCTTTCTCTTGGTCCTTACATCCATGACGATGGCACTAAAAAGTTAATCAGTCAACAGATATATACCGAAAGGAGGAGCTGGAAGAAGAGGCCTCCAGGATCTGACCAATGAGATAAAGCATCCATAAACGGGACAGGCAGTTAGGAAACAGTGCATGGCAGAATATAGTCCATGGTTCAGGTGGTGGTAAAATCAGCAAGGACTGCAGAAATTCAGAGGAAGAGGAATCAGTGCCCGCTGGAATAGGATGAAGCAGCTGCATAGCAAAGATGGCTCTCGGAGTGGGCGAGGAGGGTATTCTTATGACTATTTCTTACACAGAGCACTATCAGCTATGTTTACTGTGAGCCAGGCATTGTGCTAAATGGTCTCCGTCTATTGCCTTACTTACTCCTCTCAACAAGGGGAGGTAAGAACCATCTCGTCTTATCTCCATTCTGTAGATGATGAGACTGAGCACAGAGAAGTTAAATAACTTGCCCCAAGGTCACCTTGAATGTGGTCTGTATGCTCCCAAGCCCATGCACTCCCCCATACTATATTGGAAATCCACGTAACATTTATTAGTGTGTGCCGGCAGATAGGTTCCTAACATTTTACACGCATTATCTCATTTAACCCTTAAGACAACCCTTTCTGGTAGGCAGTCCCATTAGTCTCAAGTTCTGGGTGAGGAAATTTGGGAACAGAGAAGTTAACTTGCCGGAGGTCTAGGGTTGCCAGATAATATTCAGGACACCCAGTTAAATTTGATAAATAACAATAGGTTGGTATAAATATTGCATGGGACATATTTATATTAAAAACTATTCATTGTTTATCTGACATTCAAATTTAAATAGGTGTCCTGTTTGCGTTTGTTTGTTTTTGCTAAATCTGGTAATCTTACTGAGGTTGCCCTGCTGGCGAGCGACGAAGCGAGGGTTGAATCAGGTGGGGGACTCGCTCTGACCACTGCGTTCCACTGTGGCTGGAGATGTGGGGTGGCATTAATCCCAGCATATTTGGGAGGAAGTGAGTAGACTCGCCTTCTTGGCTCTGAGGTTAGGTTGAGGGCAAGTGAGAAGCAGCCGTGAACCTTTTCAGCCCTCCCTCACCTCCTGTGCTCTCCAGATGCTGCTGCTATCCCCACCTGCTGGTGGTACAGGAGTTAAAGGAGCTGAGCAACGCGGTTCCAGCCTTCAGTAACAAATGCTTGGTTCTGATGCCAAGTACAGAAGGAAAAGGAAAACAGGAGAAAATAAGAGTGGGAGAGAGTTGGTGTGGGATTCTGCAGACACTGTCACACTCACACCTTCCTTTATAAATCGCAGGACCTCCCACGGGGGTTAATGCATGTACCTAGAGAGTCATAACAGACACCTGTGGCATAACCACAGAGGCTGCACTTATGTGATCATCTTATGGGCCACTATTGACCAGGGAATCACGACTCTGTCAGGGAGGCCAATCAGTCAGCTGATATAGACCCAGGGCCATCAGCCCTCCGGCAATGTGGCCAAGAGTGTCGCTTAGGCCGGGAGACCTGAGAGAGTGTGACATCTCCAGGGTAGACATTGAGTTCAACTCCAGCACTTAATGCCAAGGAACTGGCTCCACTAATGAGCAACAGGGGTGCTACGACTGCAGAAACACGCTTTCCTGTTGTGAAAGAGGTGAGCGCTTGCATAAGTGAACATCAAGCAAACATAGAACAAATCTGAGAGCTTAATGGGACCAGTGTGATACTCAGGAAGAGGCAGTAAGACTCAGCAATAAGAAGATAAGCAGCGGCAAATAAAGTAGTCCCTCTTGTGGAAGAACAGGGATTCATAAAAGAATTCACCATATATAAAAACATACCCGCATTTATGTTTGATAAAGCTATGCACTGTATTGTATAGTTTATATTTAGTAGTGTTTTAAAAATTATTTCGATTATTTCCTTTTGTTGTTTTCCAGACACCTGAGTTAAAGAACCCCTTGAGGTAGGATATACATGAGTAGCACTGAAATGGCTGCGTTGTGGCCCAAAGATGCCAAGCATCGGCAGTTTAGATCTCTTTTCAAGACTATTTGGAAAATTTGTTAACCAGTCGCCTTGCTCCCAATCTCCCTGTCCTCCAGTATTTCTCCACTCAAGTATTTCTCCAGTATTACTCCTCTAAAGCCTGGGTGGTTTAGATCACTATCAATTTCGTAAAAGAGAAAATTGCCTAAGTTCAACTCCTTTGGCAATCTCTTCCCAAACTGTTTTCCAAATTCTTCTTTCATGATCTGTTTCTCCCATCACAGGCTACACCTGTCTTCTCTTTGTGGATTATCTGATTCAGAATTTCCATCTTTTTTCCAGCCCCTATCTCACCCTCTGCAGGACAACAGCTAACTAACCACCAGACATTTTCAGACCTCCATGCCTTTGCGTGTGCTGTTCCTTTCATCTGGTCCCTCCAACACTGTGCTGGAGCTGGCTTTTACTAGCTCATGCACATCTAGTCCCAACTTTGTTCAGTGATATCACGTTGATAAACTTGAAATCCACTGCAGTAGGAGAATTTACACCATGGAAATTAGCAAATGCACATCAGGGCTTTTTTTCCCCTGCTAGAGTGCTGGTTGTTAAACATTCACTAGGACACCATTGCCATCCCCCACTCTGCCTGGATGATTCCTACTTACCCTCCAAGACAGAGGGCATCTCTGTGAAGCTTTCTTTGACTCCCACAGAGGAGCAGGGAGAAGAAAGCAGCTCCTGTGTGCTGAGCATCTGGGCTGGGTGCTTTACATACATAATTCTCATGCCTCTGTTAGAGCAGTTGTATCACAGTATAATTATTTGTTTGTGATTGCCTCCTTGATAAGTGCTAAGCGCTAAGATTGCAATCTATGTTGATCTTTAAAACCCCAGGGACCTTGAAGATATCTTTTATAAATAATAGGTTCTTAGTGAATGTCAAGTATTTAATTAAGTAAAAACTAGGAGGAAAAATGGCATTGTTTTGTTTCATCCATCTCTGTTCTCCTGGAGAGTAACCCCTCACATCACAAGCAAAGTTGAATATTTTGCCAAGGTCTTCTATTGAGTGACTTTTTATTCTTATTTATTTATTTATTTTAGAGGTATAATTTTATATACTTATTTTTAATAGCAGTAACATTGGATTATAACATTATATAGCTTTCGGATGTACGTGGTAATACATTTTGAATTCTGTATAGATGAGTGACCTTTTAAAATCTACAATAAACAAATTTATACAAAGGTGTCTCTAGTATAATACTTGTGGCGTGTTTACAGATGCAGAAGGCGCTGTAGGAACCGGTGTATAAAATGGAAATCTTGGGTCTATCGGAGGCAGATGGGGAAGGCATTTTTAGTCAGAGGGGCTTTTTAGTGGCCACTATTCTTAAACCCGTGAGGATAGAGGAGTGTTAGCATAGCACCCGGCCTGAAGTATGGACTTTGTAAGGGTAGCTACCACCACCACCACCTCCATCCTCATCCTCTTCTTCTTCTCCTTCATCCTCCTCATCATGGAATGCTAGTGATGAGCAGGGCTACCCCAAGCTAAGAAACCATTCAACTGACTTGAAGCTGGGTTTGGAAGCTTATAGTTCTTGTTTCACCCTCTCGCTTTTCCTTAAATTTATTAAAGCAACAGGACTCTGCGAAGAAAGCTTTTTTCTGTGGCTTCTTTTCTGTTGGGATGCTTTGCAAATATGACTCATCCACCTTCACCTTCCGGTGAGAGAGACAGACAATAGATATAACTTTAACCTGATTTGAACAGATGCTGTGAAATGGTTGGCTGAAATGATCTTCCATGTAATTTACTCAAGCCAGCTTAAACAAAAGCTGGTAGATAAAAAATTATGTCACACTCATCTTTAAGAAAGCAACAGTCTATGCAGAAGAAACAGTTTAGTATGCCTGCTGTTTTCTGATCGTACTGCTGCAGTAATAAGTATTTTGCAGCAACAGTAAAGTATTCTGCTCTTATTGCTTATTGACCTTTGTCCCAAAGCCAGAGAGTTGCGGCAACAATATCAGACTAGAGATTATAGAGGGCTGCAGAGGGGCCTTCATGGAAGAATTGAGACCTGGAGCACAGGTAGAGATGGATTATGAAGGATGTTCTGAGGGAAGAAGGGAACTGGGGTAAATGTTGAGAACAGCATTTCCTGCACTGTTTTGCAATACAGCATTTGGTAAAGAGCATTCTAAGACCAAAGAAGTTTGGGAAATACTGCATATACCCATCGTGGATTAGACTATTATGTGCTCTGAGAAACCTGAAGTGAAGAAACCTCATTGGCTTTGCTTAACTTGTTTCCCAAATGTGCTGGATCATAGGATCTGCTTTTGGAGAATACCTAGTAATCTCTTTCAGAATGTTCAAGTTCCATGGAAACTTGTCGGGAAGCACTAATTTATAGGGTGATGTTTCTGGGAACTATTATTTATTTGTGCCTTTTTTGAGGCCTCAAAAGAGTCAACCTTACTCCTCAGTTCATACTACCTTATGATCACATTTCCGGCAGGGCTTCTCTTGTTTTATTTTATTTTTCCCCCTTCATCCCCAACCTCCACTCCCCACTTTAAGTACCTACTTTCGTGTGTTTCATATATTTTCTTAAATATGCTTTTATCTTATAATAAAATTAAGTATATTGTTTTGTGTGTATATGCTATAAATTTTGTTTTTTCTTACTATTTTTTTAATCAGCCAGCACTATATTTTAAAGAGCTAAGCTTGTTGTTGTCCATTCATCTCATTTGTTGTTTTCATCTGCTGCACAGGATTCCAGAGTATGCAGTCCACCCACTTTACATCCATTCCTCCACTAATGGGCACCAAGTTTCGTGGCATCAGGGATCTTGAGTTTGGGGCACTAGAAAAGAGAGTAGTGATATCTACTGAATAAAGAGTTTGAACAGTTTTCTTCTATTAAATAAATAAATAACCTGGTCAATTTTGGCAAGCTGACCTGATCAAGTCCCAGTGATGATAAAGAGTGAATTTCAGAAGACTTCAGATCATTTGCTAGAACAGGGACTGAAAATCACCTGACTCGGATTGTCCAAATCTGCCATCCAAAACTGCCAACTTCACGCAATTTTCAAGATTGTGCCCTTGACCTTAAATATGACTGTTGAAAATAGACCATTTTCTTAAAAATGCAGAGAGGAAAACAGACGGTCTGTCATAGACCTCTGGCAAGTGAGCTTGAGCTGGAGATTGAGCAGACGGCCCAGCTGAGCAGGTCAGGAGAGCAGGCGGATTGGCATAAGGTCCTCAGGAGTCTCATGGGACGCTCATAATGAGATATGCTGACCTTCTGCAGATTATCCATCCCCAGGACCATCTACTTCCTGTTTAGTGCCCTAAACAAAGTATGTAATATTAGCAATCCCCTACTTCAGGTCGTAACTATGAAAGAGAATCAGAGCAATTTGGGGGAGTCAAGAGAAATGCCAACTTCAGAGGAAGCTTTTAATGGTGTTGAACAGGAAGTATCATAGAGTTCAAGAACTTCTGAGCAATAGAGGAAACTCTTCTAGGTAAATTACCAGGAATTTGTTCTCAACTCGGAAACTTTTCACTTCCTTCAAAGAGTGAGTGATTGTGAAACCCCTCTCAATACTCTACCGAAGTTCTGGTGGACAGTGAGAGCTGTGTTTCCACGCAAAGCGGTGATGGGACATGTTGTTTCAACCTAAACTGTGAGAAATATATGTTGAAAAAGTAGAAATTTCTTAAATTCCAGCATTATGGGGATTCCTGCCATAGCCAGTATTCATGAATATTATTGACAAAGAGATGGCTGAACTTAGAGAATGAACTTTGTGTGTGTACAACTGGAGAGACAGAATTTTCTGTAGTTTGGATTAACAAGCACAAACCCTGGGGTAGAGTGAGGCAGGAAAGGCTTTCTGGACAATGGAGGAAAAGGAGGTGAGTTGAACCACACAGAGAGTCTTCTGGATGAGAATGTCTATGGTTTTTACCAATTCACTACAGAGGAAGAATGGATTTATATCCAAAAAAGTTGTGTATTATGTGTAGTGTTGCTTCCTGCCCTTAGCTCAGTAGCTCAGTGCCTAGAATGTAGGAAGCACTCAGCAAATATCTTTAGAATGAATGAATAAATATAAGTAGCTTAAATTAACTGGTAGCTATTGCATAGAGTTCATTTTATTTATTTATTTACATTATTAAGACTATTTTTTTTGGAGAAGGTTTAAGTTTACAGAAAATTGGGGGAAAGGTACAAAGATTTCGCACATACCTTGTGCCCCCACACATGCATAATCTCCCCTATTATCAACATCCACCACCAGAGTGGTACCTTTGTTACAACTGATGAACCTACACAAACACATCATAATCACCCAAAGTCCATAGTTTATCGTAGTGTGCACTCTTAGTGTTGTATATCCTATGTATTTAGACAAATGTATAAGACACGTATCCATCACTGTAGTATCATACAGAGGATTTTCACTGCCCTAAAAATCCTCTGTGCTCCGCCTGTTCATCCCTCCCCACCCCCCCAATCACTGACAACCAATGATCATTTTACTGTCTCCATAGTTTTGCCTTTTCCAGAATGTCATATAGCTGGAATCATACAGTATATAGCTTTTTCAGATTGGCTTCTTTCACTTAATAATATACATTTAAAGCTCCCTCCATAGCTCTTCATGGCTTGATATCTCGTTCATTTAGTGCTAAATAATATTCTTTTGTCTGGATGTACCACAGTTTATTTATCCATTCACCTGCTGAAAGATGTCTTGGTTGCTTCCAAGTTTTGGTAGTTACGAATAAAGCCGCAATAAACATCCATGTGCAGGTTTCTGTATGGACATAAGTTTTCAACTCTTTTGGGTAAATACCAATGAGTACAATTGCTGGATCATGTGGTAAGAGTATGTTTAGTTTGTGAGAAACTGCCACACTGTGGTTGTACCGAGTTCATTTTATTACATACATTTATAAAACTGAAGGTCAAAGAACCCCTTTAGATACCAACATGTGAACTACACCTAAAAACTGTAGTCAAGACCAGAGGGAAAGGTCAGATGTGCAGCCAGCTAACAGAAAGGGATCCTAATAAGGCTTGTTTTTGGTGGGATCTGTTGCATGTTGGATTATCCTAGGAGAAAAAAGCCAAATGTTGGGCCTAGTACCAATGTTTGATTATTGGATTAGATTCGTTTGGTGTCTCTTAAATCACAGGAACAAACACCCCTCCATCTCAAGTGTGAGATTTCCATGTTTATGTGCTCAGTTCAGAGCCTTTTGCTCTGTCCTGGTATGATATAGTCGAATGAGCTGTGCCTAGATTAGCCTCTGGTGTAATGCAGCACCCAGCCACATGGGTGACTCTGTAGCCAAATACAGCCCAACCTTGCCAGATGTTTCAGCAGCGCACAAAACCCATCTGTTCACTTGGCACTTTACTGATGCATGTAGGAAGGGGGACCGATGCAAGAGCCTGGCTTCCAATCCCAGGAACAATAGTAATGACTTAAGAGGAATATTTATTTTGTATATTTACTCAGATGTTTGGAAATGAGCTTTAGGAAAATCAATAAAAATAACACAAACTGTGGGGAACTTTGAAATAATCAGTTTCCTTCTCCCTGGTATTGAACAAGAATTATCCAGTAACTATGCATTTTGAAGGAAAAAAACAAAACCTTTTTTTTAAGTGTGTACTCAGGCATGACTCTAAAATCCTCTCTCTTTTTGTGTCTCTCTTGGCATATATATACATACATACCTCTAGCTATACATCTATCTATATCTATACATATATCTGTACACATACATATACATATAAATCTTTCTATCTATACATATACAGATATCTATTTCAACGTCTTATTGGGTAAATGGGGAGGTAGAAAAAATATAAATTATGATCTTTGTCCATTTCTGAGAAAGATTTTTGTCCTGAGGCACTCAGGAAGTTCCACTAATTAACCCCTTCTGCAGGGGCTACTTAATGGAGCAGTCTGCATGAGGGGTCAGAATACCTGGACTTACCCTCTCACAGTGCTACAGAGAAGTTGTAACCTTGTGGAAGTCACTGATTTCTCTGGATTCAGTTTCTTCAGTTGCACAATGAAGGGGTTGGACTGGGGGACCCCTGAGGACGCAGCTATGTCTAACATCCTGGGATTCTGACTCCCTTCCTGACCAGCCTCTCCCCTCTGGAGCATCTGACTGAAGAATGGGTGGGCCTTGGTGGTCTTCTCACCATCCAGCATTCTATGTGAGGAAGGAGCGTAGAGGTCACGCAGCATCCATGCCCCCTTCCATTGGTAATAGCTCTCTGAGTTCCTTTAGGGGAGCCACCCCTGCGCCCATTGTCTGTCCATGTCCTTCGGGTGGGGCTTTGATCCAGACTCCAGGACAAGCCTGGACATCAGTGCCCCAAATTCCCCAGGACCCATGACTAGTCCAATCAAAATGAATCCCAGGACTTGTGCTGTCTCAGGAAGAGACCTTGCCTTTCTACCTGAACCTGGAAGGATGTGAAACTGGAAGGGCTGCAGCCATCTTACCACCACAGGGGAGCACCTGGCTCAGAAAGGAGCCAACTTAGAAGAAGAAGAGCTCAAGAGGTGGAGAAACAAAGAGATCCTGATGACACAGTTTGAGTGCCTGAAGCCTTGGGCTTTTCAGTTCCTGGAATCAATAGGCTTTCTTTTTGGCTTAACTTACGTTGGGTTTTCTATCATATGCAGAAAGAGCCCTAACTTTTCAAAATCATGTTTTACTAACACTCAATTTTATTAAAAAGGATTTAACAATTTCAAACGTTAACATTAGTTGTCATATGCTGAGAGTTTCCCTTCATTCGCTGACCATTTACCTGAGCTTCTTCAGGTATTTTGAATTTTTTTGGGCAAATTACATATAAGACCATGGTCAAAAAGAAGTCAAAGAAGGTAACTCAAAAATTTTTGAAAGAGCACAATAAAACCTAAAGACATGGATTAAGTCAGTGTCAGTGCTACTCTACAGAACTGCAAGAAACCAGCAAGCCAGGAGTGCACTGAAGGGAGAACTTAACAGTAACGAGGAAACTATAGAAAGGCAGAGAGGAAGCGGAAATGACTTCTATTTTGTGACACTCAATTGCGTAAGAAGCATTTCCAAATATTCTTAAATAGGCAGCATCTCATTTTCACCTTGTTTTGCAGTCATTAACATGACACAAAGCTTAGATCAAGAGAAGAACCTGGGAAGGAGATCAGTGCTCCTCAGTCCCTCCGTTACTGCTTGCTTTTGTGTTTGATTGACTTTTTTGGTAGTGTACTGTTTTGATTCCTCTGTTTCTTTTTCTGGGTTTTTTTTTACGTTATATTCTTAGTGGTTACTGTGGAGATTACAATTCAGCTCTTAAACATATAACAATCTATTTTGAATCACTATCACGTTAGCTTCAATAGTATACAAAAACTCTGCTTCTATACAACTCCATCCCCCTTTTATGTTATTATTGGTGTCGCAAATTACATCTTTATATATTATGTGCCCATTGACATAGATGTATAATTATTGTTTATGCATTTGTATTTTAAATCATATGGGAGAAAAATGAGTTAAAAACTAAAAATATAATAATACTGGCTTTGTATTTACCTATGTAATTACACTTACCAGTGTAATTCTTCATACGGCTTCAAGTCATTCTCTGGTATCCTTTCATTTCCTTTTGAAGGACTGCTTTTAGCATCTTTTCTAGGGCAGGAGCATAGGTTGCACGTGTCAGGATGTGGAAGTGTGAACCAACCTGGGGCTTTCTGGAGGAAGCACTTGGCAGCCTTTTCCCTAGAAGCCTAGGCTGGAGCCAAACTCCACCAAAGAAGCCCA